ATCAGTAATCCTAAAAAAATAACACTGAGCCAAACACACATGCTAAAATAACAACAACTTACTGACACATAGTAAGAAATGGTTATAAAAAACTGAAACAGAAGTGAAACAAGTACCGGTAGTAGGAAAGAGGAGAAATAAAAAGCAATACTTATCCTTTGCCGGTGTCCCTGCCCGGTAGAGTCGCACGGTAGAGTCAATGGTCTTTACTCTCTTCGGTCTTCCCACGAGGAGGCCTTCACACGACAGCTGCCGCGACCACTGTTGCGGTAAACTAAGCTTTTTTATACCCGTCTAACAAAATACTAAATTAATTCAGCTGGACACACTTTCCTTATTTTACTTTCCTTATTTTCTCCGCAACAAATGACCAAGCAAGCGCAGACACTGACAAGATATGCGATACAGAACGAGACCAAACGCGATATCAGCACGTCTCCCTTCTTAAGCTCATTGGTGTGGTTTTTGTACCACAGTGAGGCATTTTTCTCTCTTTAATTTTCTTTAATTAATTGACTAATGACAGACAAATTCACTAATAGAATCCAAATCAAAGCTATATACCTGGTGATTATATCAGGGCAATATATGTCAGAGACAAAAACCATGAGGATCCCAATTAGTGTGACAGTATTAAACAAGATTTCAAAAGATCAATTAACACGTAATATTAATCAGTGAAAAACCAAAATGTATGTAACCTATGTAAAGTCATAAAACATATTGATGAATAACAGCATTTAGTGTAATTGAGCTCAGAGATGTTGACTTCATATTTTAATCTAATTTACAGGAGTGAGGCCTCGGTGCCATGCCAGAGAAATCCCATAGCACGGCCCATGACGTCCCAATGGGTGACGGTAAGACTCGACTCTCATGGTTATCATGAACATCTTTTAGATTAATATTTTTTGCTGTTAGATGATTAATGTGTTTTGTTAATTGTTGCTGTGAATACTAGAATATTCAATTCAGTCAAAAACATTTAACGTTTATTTTTTTTCAGTAACCACCTGTAGAGGTGTACAAGAGAGCTGGTTAGAAGGTTTCAAGTACCAAATAACTAGTAGACGTTGTAACACGATAAAACTGCTTTGTGAGAATGTGAGAATGAGGCCCACAGGAACGTCTCAACTGTGAAACTGCAAAGTCTATAGACTACAGGCTACAAAAACCATGTATCTATTGTTGTGTTTCTTAAGAAACATTTGATAATTTGTGCATGTACTGTTTACTTCACAATAGGGATGTGCAAAACTACATACACATTTGTCTAAATGACTGATTAACTTTGAGAAATTGGAGGTTCATTGTGTATATAAAAATGGCTAGACAGAGCACACCAGAATAAAACAGAACTCTGGGATCTCAGCATTTTTCAAAAACAGGTCTACTAACATAAACATGTCTTCATAAACATAAAACTGGCACAAGAACTGTGTGCAGGTATTTCAGCAACCTTCTATTGGGTGTCAAGTTTTTCTGCTTTTTTTTTTTTAGTAAAACGTCTGAGCTATGTTGAAGTCAGTGCAGTGACAAATACCAACCTGAAATTGTAATGCAAAAACAAGCTCATAGACAAATGAGAGCGAACCAGCTGCAGTGACACATGCTGAACTGAACTAAAGCTATTGGCCTCTCGAAGAACTGTCACTTTAAGAGCTGAACACGGTATTTACAGTATTTCTCACCCATCTTCTTTGGACACCTAGTCTCTTAAGCATGAACTGCTTTCTCAGAAGTATTATTTAATTTTATGAGGTCCAAAGTCCTCTTGCCTGTTCTTTGCAAAATAAATAAATAAAAAAGATTGTGAAAAAGTAAACATTTTTTGTAACTTATTTCAAAAAGTGAAACTTTCATATATTCTAGATTCCTTACATGTAAAGTAAAA